TGCAACACCAAACATGTACTGTAACACCAAACATGTGCTGCAACACCAAACATGTACTGCAACACCAAACATGTGCTGCAGCTTTAATGGCACCCTCAGCAAGAGGGTCTAGGTGGTCTAGAGCACCTCAGAGTCGCGCTCACCTGGCCGAATGCGTAGCGCGGCGCGAATATAAACTGAGCGACTTCCTTGAGCCTCATCGACTGCAGGGCGACCTCCAGACCTGAGGCATGTGGGAGGGGCATGAGAGAGGGGCATGAGAGAGGGGCATGTGAGAGGGGCATGAGAAAGGGGCATGAGAGAAGAGGGGCATGAGAGAAGAGGGGCATGAGAGAGGGGCATGAGAGAAGAGGGGCATGAGAGAGGGGCGAGAGAGGGGCAAGAGAGGGGCATGAGAGAAGAGGGGCATGAGAGAAGAGGGGCGCATGAGAGAAGAGGGGCGCATGAGAGAAGAGGGGCGCATGAGAGAAGAGGGGCGCATGAGGGAAGAGGGGCGCATGAGGGAAGAGGGGCGCATGAGGGAAGAGGGGCGCATGAGAGAAGAGGGGCGCATGAGAGAAGAGGGGCATGAGAAAAGAGGGGCATGAGAAAAGAGGGGCATGAGAGAAGAGGGGCATTAGAGAGGACACGAGAGGCCTGAGAAAGGGCACGAGGGGCATGAAGGAGGGCATGAGGGGCACAAAGGAGGGGTGCGGGGGCATGAGGAGCATGAGAGAATGGCTTGAGGGAGAAGCGCGAGGGACATAAGGGCACAATACACACCTGAAACAATTCTTACTATATTAATTAGCAGCAGAGCCAAGTTGTCAGGCAGTAATTAAGTGGCTTAGGTCTGAGAGAATGAAACGTCACAGGAACAAGAAAAATCAGGGCATGTTGTGATGTGTAGGGCAGCTTCCCTACACATCGCCATCTCACAACATGTATAGCAGCTGACCCAGCAACACATCACATGTATAGCAGCTGACCCAGCAACACATCACATGTATAGCAGCTGACCCAGCAACACATCACATGTATAGCAGCTGACCAAGCAACACATCACAACATGTACAGCAGCTGACCCAGCAACACATCACAACATGTATAGCAGCTGACCAAGCAACACATCACAACATGTATAGCAGCTGACCCAGCAACACATCACAACATGTATAGCAGCTGACCCAGCAACACATCACAACATGTATAGCAGCTGACCAAGCAACTTATCACAATATGTATAGCAAGCTACCCAGCAAGACGTCGCCGTGCCCCAGGTGGGACGTGACCGGCCGGCCCCGCAGGTACGAGCTGTCCATGGGCTCGTCGCCGTACTCCAGGAAGGCGCTGTAGTGGAACCGCACCGCCGTCCCTGCGGCCAGACGTGCGCCCACGCCTGGTGTCACGATCTGAGGGAAGGGGAAGGGGTGAGGGCAGGGGATGGGATGAGTATAGGAGGAGGGGTGAGGGCAGGGGATGGGGTGAGTATGGGAGGAGGGTTGAGGGCGAGGAGAGAGGTGACTGTGAGGCCTTCACGCGTCCCCTGCGTGAGGACAGGGGACGCATGGCTTACGATCGATGGCACAAAACATATTCGTCTCGAGACATTCCGAGGACACTGTACACTGAACTTGTCCTGACCACACCCTGGGCACGATGGCACCCACGGTCCCACCTGAGCACGATGGCACCACATGACCACTATGCCACCCACCTGACCACGATGGCACCCACCTGACCACGATAGCACCCACCTGACCACGATGGCACCCACCTGACCACGATGGCACCCACCTGACCACGATGGCACCCACCTGACTATGATGGCACCCACCTTCTTGAGGACGCCGCCATCACCCGTCAGGTCCTCCATGTTCCTCGCCAGCTTCTCGAAAGGCTCCAAGTCGTCCTCGTTATCTGCAAGTGCATGAGCACTTCAATCCTTGCTAAGAGTTCATTTGCTTAAGTAGAAATAAATGGTCAAAATTTACTCAATGCTGAATATGAAAGCAACTTGTTTGAACTAATATATTAAAATAACAGTTGCCGCTAAGCCCATGTCTTGCAGCAGGATTGACCATGATGACATCATGAGTACAGAGAGATATAACAATACATTTCACACGAACAACTTAAACACAACAACGGATATTTAACTGCAAGTGTAATAAGTAGGATCAGAGAACAGCCTCCTTAGAGTTAGCAGAACCAAGACTAAATGGCGTTGTGGAAGTCACCTGACAAGTCCGAGCAATGGTTGCGCTCCTTGGTGTGAAGGGAACCAAGACTTAGGCAGCTGAACAGCTGGTCGTCATGGAAGAAGTTGGTAGGAGGGATGGCATTTCTTTTACTTGCAGCAACAGCAGCATCCTCATTCACGAATACATCATATTCAGAGCTGGGGAAAAAACAGCTTTACTTAAAAACACTTAAACTCATACCGTAAAATGGGGTAACTTAGACCGGCGGGGTAACTTAGACCACTTTTAGTTTTTTCAACAAAAACCCCCACAACTCAAAAACTATTTGACATAGAAAAATTTTGTCAATGGGCATTAAAGGCCTAATACTGAGGCTACATAACACAATAGAAAGATTTAAAAAGTTTGCATATCTAATAGGTTAAAAAATTAAAAATGAGACCCACGAAAAAAAACTATTATTTAAAGCCTTTCAGAGTACCCTCTCCAATTTTTTTATTTTTAGGTTAAATAACTCCAGGTTTTGATGCATTGTAGTAGAACTCTTCTAGTTACATATGCAAATGACAAATTTTAGGAAAGTGTCATAGTTTGTAAATGGGGGGCGCCACCCCCAAATGGGGTAACTTAGACCACCTAATATCAGCCCTGATGGGGTAACATAGACCGGCTTGGAAGTTAATATAAAATTACCATATATAACATATTTTATGTTTGACAGCCTATTTATGTTTTAGACTCGACAGAGTCTTATATATGGTAATTTCAACTTAATATCCAAGCCAGTCAATATTACCCCATCAGGGCTGCCATTAGGTAGTCACATTTCCATCATTATGGGGCGGCGCCCCCCATTTGCAAACTATGACACTTTGCTCAAGTTTGTCATTTGCATATGTAACTAGAAGAGTTCTACAACAATGCACCAAAACCTAGAGTTATTTGGAGTTATTTTACCAAAAAAAATAATTGATTTTACCACCCGGTCTAAGTTACCCCAAGAGCTGGGGTAACAAAGACCATCACTTTTTTTGAAATTACATAAAGACTATGAGAGGCAGGAGCCAGCAATTTATGGTGAGTGAAGCTAGAGTATAGACCTGTATTTTGCATGTTTCAATTCAAGTTTAATTTAGCTAGTAAAAAAATGGCATCATTTATAAAAAAAAGTGGTCTAAGTTACCCCATTTTACGGTACTTAGAATATACAATAATGGGTTTTAATGAATTATTTTTCAAGGATTGCACCACGAATTTACAACAGAATTAAAATTTCTCATGATGACCAAGTGGTTCAGATCAGCAAGATATGAGAAGTGAGTTGATGGTTCAAATCGCATACCAATTTGTGGAAATCTGGATCCAGATGGACATATAAAGCAACAGTGGATTATTATACTCTTTGTTCAATTTTAAACTTTTACTTTACATGTTTTTGCATCTCAGGAAAGGAGTTGCAGGACCCATGGTAGGAAAATCCTACTTATCATTAAAAGGGGATTCCTACAACAATACAGACAGAAAAATTCCAGTTTGCATGAAGACAACACTGTATCACTATCAATCCAGTGGTCATGAAGATAACATCGTATCACTATCAATCCAATTGTTATGAAGACAACACTGTATCACTATCAATCCAGTTGTCATGAAGACAACACCGTATCACTATCAATCCAGTTGTCATGAAGACAACACTATTACTATCAATCCAGTTGTCATGAAGATAACACTGTATCACTATCAATCTAGTTGTCATGAAGATTACACTGTATCACTATCAATCCAGCTGTCAAGAGTAGCAATCAAACCATTCAACAAATTATACACAGTAGCTCCTGCAATGCAGTTACAGTTACAAGCAATGAGTAAGCTACTTACCCATCACCAGATGCTTTCTTCAAAGCCTTAGCACAGCTGAATATTGATGAATCAATTGATTCATTTTCAAAATCAATGTCAACACTCGACATACTTCTAGAAATAATATTATGCAGAAGATTAAGTTTAACAGCACCAGACCTGCCTTTTAGATGCAGGAGAACCTGAATGGACAAAAGTGCAAGCATAGTTGAGCCTGAGATGAGAAATTCTAGAGCTAATTGCACAAGCACATATGCTAATGGAGTAAATGACTCATTTGCATGAATTAGGTGACTCTTTACTTGTTGCCTGGGCACAGTCAAGTCCATTGTAAGCCATCTTGCTTTGAAATGGCACTGAATATAAGGGGCCGTTGTGCGTCAAGATACAAGTCTTTCCAAGTTGAACTTCTGCCATTATGACCTTAAATGAGCCTCCATGCGGAGATGCAGGTACAATCACAATCAACTTATAACATTAATCAACACCTAAAGGATCAGTATTTAAAAACCATATTGGTCAGTATGCATCATTAGCATTGATATTCAAGTACTTTAGTCTACATTTACTGCCATCTATTATTCTGATAGGAAATTTCCATCTATGTAGATGTGTAATCAACAACCATAATGTGATACTAAGAACAGTGGCTCATGTTTGTAATATTGACCAGCAGTGAATTCACAGGATCATAATATATCAGTCATGACAATACTTGCAAAATGTATATTATAGTAACAATAATTTTATGACCACATATTTATCAAAATTTCTAAAAAAAGGAATCTTAATAATTCTTTTATTTAATGCATTCTTGCCATCAAAGTCATAGCTTCTTCAAATTACAATTAACAACCTAAATTTCAAAGTGGGCAGGGGGGCCCAGTGGTAGTGGGCAGGGTGGCCCAGTGGTTACAGTTCAGAGTACCAGGATTGGAGCAGGTAAGCGCGGGTTCGATCCCAGCTCTGTGCGCCAGTTTCTGGTCAGAATCGGCAAGGAGGCCGGGCAGTTAAGCACAGCAGAATTGCAGCAGTAAGTTGGGAGTTTGAAACCGCAACAAGCTGTGAATGTTCTGCGATGTTAAGAACGGCGACAGGCCTACGGCCTACTAAACGCTGAAACCGCTATTATTATTATATTATTATTATAAAATTTAACCGTTAATTGGAGAAATTTTAAAGTATTGCTAAGGAAGTTTATGAAGTTCTTCAAAGCAGATTTTTGAGGCTTCAGGCATAAGTGCAAGTATACAACACATTGAACACAACACCCAGGCTCATAGCCTGAGCACAACTCCTTTTGAGACAAATCTATATATAAATTTGAAGCCTTAGAGAGGCCAGCAGATTGTTTGTTTGGGCTCAGATATTGTGAGTTTTTTATCCTCTTGTTGTAGAAGTGGCAACTGCTTCCTTCTTGGAGAAGTGTTATTTGAATGACACCTTGGCTCAGCATAAAAGTCTATATGCCTGAAAAAGTTGCAGGAGACATGCATGAGAAAAAATCATGAATCAAAAGCTAGTCTCTTCTCATTCGAGATGAACAATACAGGTAAAAAAGGCTGCTGGTGTAACACTTCCACACCCATCCCCCCACACTCCACCATCAGAGAAAACTTGATGGCTTGGCATTTGATGAAAATAATAAATATAAAATGTGATTATGACGTTATTAGCATATGTATGTTGTTGTTAATTGCCAGGATCTGATGCTCAGCAGGGCCTCTGTAAGGGTGCCAACTCCAAGGATGTTGCAAATATAAAAGGAATGCTGCAGCATATTTATTATAATGTATAGCCATTTGAAGCATGCATACCTGTTGAAGTATACATACCAGCTCTATGCCATTGAAAGTTAGAAGTAAAAAATATATCAATTTACAGAACCTCTATGTTTACCTTCCCTCTTAAATGTTTACACGGAGAAAAGTGTGAATCAACAATATCTTATGGCAGTTTACAGCTCTCATCTGGGCAGTGCATGACATTGGCAGTGCTGAAGCCAGAAGGAAGTGTGTTGCTGTGTCTGGCTTTCTGCTGGTTGTTGTTGTTCATTGCGACCGTCACGCTCGCCGGGGGGAGGCTCTGGTGGTGGGCGGGGGGCCGGCGTCGGAAGGGGGGGAGATGGGCGAAGGCAGGGAGGGTGGCCAGGAATGCTGCTGCCTCCACACCGCAGTCCCACAGTGAGGAGATGCTGAGGGATGTGGGGAAGGCAGGGCAGGCAAAGAGATGCTGGACAGACTGGAGGAGATCCCCACACTCCGGGCAGGTGGAGCTAGGGTAGCGTCCGATCCTAGCAGAGTAGTATGCCAGGGAGCTGCAGTATCCCGAGCAGAGCTGGGATAGCACCAACTGTTATGGGCAAGGGCGTGAGGCCTCCACCAATGCAATCGCTGGTAGTGGGGCTGCAAGGACAGCGTTTAACGCAGTTTTATAGTCCTGCAGGTAGCACATTGATTGGTGTCTTCTAAAGTTCAGTACCAGTACCATGCTTCTGGAGTTCTGGCTAATACTTCTGAATTCAAATTCTACTCTTTCACTGTCCTGTAGTTGAAGTTGTATCAGACTATCAGAGAAGTAGAGAACAGACTGGAAAATCAGGCAGAAGACACTTGGGAATGAGACAAAAATGCCCAAGCTGATTGCTGACTAACAATATCAGTATATCACATACGACACCTAATCACCCTAGTAAGAAAGGTCCTTAAATAATTTGATGTGAAAAATAAGAAAAAGAATACATTTTTGCCAGCAATTTTTATATATGTCCCTTAAAAGTTTAAATGATAGGTTCTACCAGCATTTTATAAAAATCTGACCAGTGTTAAAAACTTCCAGTTTGTGACTTTGGGTCAGAGTCAGTCAGTCACAGTCAGAGTCTGTCAGACAATTCACTACAAGCAATAAAACTACAAGACAAGACACCTTTGACAAAAACAATGAGTGCAATATTATCTATCAAATTGCATTTAATAGGAAGGAAATTTTTTTATTTCTAGGCCAAAAATGGAGTTGAGACATCATGTAGAAACCAATACACTTACAGTTTAAACATTGTCTTCCAAGACTTTAGCTTGCATTTTGCAATTGATTGGATACTTTTGAATGTTGGAAGACATATATTAGGTACTAAATGATAGCATAGCATAGCATTAGCAGCATCTTCAGTTAGCTAGGTAGCCCTAATCAGTTTTGAAGTAGGACTGCAAAGGCTTCTCACATATTCTTATACTAATTTGTGCTTGCTGCTTGTTCAGTCACATAGATTGTAAAACTGGTTTTTTTGACCAGCAGTTCTTACCAATACCTACTGATGTTGGTCACGGTTGGTGTTACATCATGAATCATGATGACATGATCATAATTGAAAATTTGAAATTCTAACATGGGTAAAGAAAAAAGAAAGCATACTACCTACGATTTTCCAGATTGATCTGAGAACAACTGAATTTTGGTAAGTAGTTAAATATAACACTTCACTTTCCTTCATCACTTCCACATATACGAGGCCGGTCACACCGTCACGCGACTCACGCCGTGCATATTTAAGAATTAAAAAACAGGAGGATTCTATAGTAGGGCGCTGAAGCAGTGCGTTGTCAAAAAGGAAATGCTAGGGTAAACGCGGTATATTCCGACACATTAAGGACGCATCGAGAAATGAAAAACTATAAAAAAATAACCGTATGCGTTACTCGAGTTCTGTTTGCTTTATTTGACTCGCAAAACACCGTACTACGCGCCAGCAACGATGAAACGTCACAAAATGTTGCCATATTTATTTATAGCATAGTGGCAAAGCAGAGAGTTCTTTAGACTCTTCCTCAAGTTCATTTTTGAGTTCTATAAGTAGACCAGTAAAGTATCCTGGATACCAGCATTATCATACGTAAGAAATTGGTTTAAATCTTGCTTAAATGAGGAAATTAAAAATGAACTGATTCTAAAAAATCTCTGGTTTGCCACTATGATTTATAGTAGCTTTTTTTATAATTGATTTTAAGACTTCGGGTATGAATATATCACACCTTCCAGCCTGAGAACAACTTTTTGTTGAAAACTTGTATTATATTGCCGTTTTTGTTTCAATTTGGGTTTCTGTCACTCACCAACCGCACCAATGATTATAGTGTAGAACTTAGAAGAGACAAGAGAATTAGGCACTGAGTATTTTCAGAGGGTGTTCACCATGCTGCATCTCAGAAGGTATTGTCCAAGTCTCCAAGATGACGTATTACAGCAGCAGCAGTTCTTCGTTGTGGGATATCTCCCCCACCAAGAGCCGAGATGAGGGTCCCAGACTCCAAGGTAATGATAAAGCCTCCAAACTTGAGCGAAACTCCCTCCTCTGGTCAGTGTAAAGCACACAGCTCAAATGCAAGCAGGCTGCAGGCAGCACTTCACCCGGTTTACCGCAGCAGCAATCGGCTCGTCGGCCGGCGCCCTTGGCGTAAATGCCATTGCGTTTTTTCTACGCCTATAGGACTAGTTCGCTTTTGAATAGGTCACTTAAACAATTAAAATTTTCGGAAAGTAACTCAATTTGACATGATACAATTAGAATTTTACTTATAATGTAAACATTTATGTATAATGACAAATTAAATCTCAAAATTGTGTCTAACGGTCAAGAAAAATTAGGAAAAACCCCCAGAAAGTAAAAAAAAGTAAACATTGATCGAATGTAATTGATTATTCAAATAGTTTGTATGTTTATCAGTACAGTTTTCAGTATCAGTATAAAAGAAAAGTTTATCTACCAAACAACAATTCCTCGAATTATTGCTTCATTTGCTATTCACCCTTTGTGAGCACCGAAACCGCCGAATCGACACTTCAGCGAACTCGCCTGCGAGCTCGAATGCAAAACCTAACTTTATTTTCAACTCTGGCACTCATAACTACTGATATTATCTACTTATATTTTAAATTTGAATAAAATCCGTTCATTATTGAAGGATTCATGAGTGCCAGAGTTGTAAATGAAGTTAGGTTTTCCGCATTAACAAAAAAGTTATTGATGTAAAAATCTGAAAAAATTCCCCCCGCAAACTACTGATATTATCTACTTATATTTCAAATTTGAATAAAGTCTGTTCATAATTGAAGAAGTTATGAGTGCCAGAGTTGAAAATGAAGTTAGGTTTTGCATTCGAGCTCGCAGGCGAGTTCGCTGA